TCAGGAATCCACCAAGCGGGGAAATTGTGAAAGTGACTTTTCTTATCTGGCATCTTTGTCACCCATGCGATGTTTAAACCCGGGGGTCACACTTAAATGCAAACACTAATTTGCGCAATCTGAAAGGTATTTAACGGTATATTTGTAAGTAATACACACCGAACTTAAAATATTTAAACAAAAGTTGAGGTACATACCAACGGACTTTTATTAAAATCTGTGTGCTATCCAAATTAGATTATTGTGTCCTCCTTATGCGCCTATAAGAAATATTTTCTGTGGTTTTTTTTTCTATGATAAATTTTTTCGAAAATACAAAATTTCTTTTGAACGAGGTGCGTATTGCTCTCCTATCAATCAAAAAGAAGACTCTTGGATTCCTCGCTTAGGAGACATCACTTTTTAATCCTAAACGAGTAATAACGGAGTACAAAACCGACAAATCTCGCTTATTGCTCCCAAATCATGCATCAGGGAGCATTCTTTAATTGCTCGCTTAGGATATCTCTCATTACGCTCCTAAGCGAGCAAAACTGGAGGACAAAACCGACAAATCTCGTTTATTGCTCCCAAATCATGCCTCGGGGAGTATTATTTCGTCGCTCGCTTAGGAGATCTCCTATTTGATTCCTAAACGAGTAATAAAGGAGTACAAAACCGACAAATCTCCCTTATTGCTCAGAAATCAGGTTAAGGGGAGCACTCTTTTATTCCTCACATAGGGAGATCTCCCTTCAGGTTCTATTGGGGATTTGATTCAACACATACATATGTATTTCTTTCTAACGTTTATTCCTCAGTCTTTATACCCCACTCGATAAACCCGTATTGAAAAGTAAACAAACTCCGTTAATTTTATTCGACATGTAGTTAATAATAAATTTCCGCGGTGGACCGAAAAGGAACAGTAATACGAATTTATTATAATAACAAATACAATTAAAAACGGGCTGTATAAAGAAAAAAACAGCAAATTTTGATTTCGCGTTAAATGAATTATTCATTTATACGGGTTTTCTAACCGATGTGAGAAATAAAAACCCGATTTGAAAACAAATTCGAGTCAATACACTTCTCAATTTCAACGCGTATTGAAATTTTGTTTATGCATCTGTTTTGAATCACACCGAACTGAGTTACAGCGCCTTATGTGTCGGTATAAACAAGGTAATATATTGGTTAAAAGGAAAAAATAAGATAATAAAGATAAAAATAAAATATTTTACACAAACAGGCTGGAAATTTTGAAATTCTTGCCCGTATTTTGTTTGTAAGTCAAATATTAGTGACATTGTGCTAATATGATACACTCAGAAAAAGGTTTAGCTTATTGCTCGTTCGGGAGGTATATGGGATGTTTTCTATGTGCACTCCCTTGTTGTCTTTTTGGGAGGTTTCTGGGAGGTAACTATGGGAGTACTGCCGTATTGCTCCATTAGAAGGTTTGTGGGATGATAATTCTGTGTGTGCTCCCCGATTGCTCGTTTAGGACGTAAAAGGGATTACTCCCCCTCCTAGGACATCCAATGTTGGGAGTATTCGTATACTCCCAAGGGAGTACTCACCGAGCAATCGTACGATGCTCCCAAGTTCTACTGGGTATAAACAAGGTATATGTTGAAATAAAACTGAAAATAAAAAATATTTTGTCAGATTATGAAAATGTTAATATGGATATTGATTGAAAAAGAATTTGCTAACTTCACCTACGGATTCTACCTACTTTAACGATGATTTTCCGCGCAAGGAGTGGCTTGCTAAATCTTATTGCAAGATCTTTTAAAAATGTCGCTTCTGTAAACTGCTCAGTTTGCAATTTAGGTGCTGTTGAAGAAACCTATCATTTGATTGGAGTATGTCCTCTGTACAAAAAATTTCGGTTTGATTGTTTTGGTGACAATGTTTTGGACCTGCAAAAGATTTTAGAGATTCTTAATGGTTATAACTATCATTCACTGCAGTTATATAAGTAGTTGTCTTAAATATAGAGAGCTTATTGAGTACGAGTTTTCGTAAAAATATTGTTCTGCTATAAGTGCTAGAGTCCAACCGATTAATCGGCGTCGGCATCGGCTAGTATCGGCACAAAATTTAGCATCGGCATCAGCCTTTTTTCGCCGATTTTTTGCCGATTCTTTAGAATTACTTTTCATATGTTCAGGTGAAGCGACAGCCAACATCAAAAAACATTTGCAGCCAGCTAACACAAATAATTTTTTTTTATTGAAGGTGTTTCACGTTTTTTCCATACAAAAGTATGGACGATTTTCTTTTATTTGGAGAACACTGCCAGCAAAAAAAGTGCCAAAAATTAACGGGATTTTATAGCAGCTTGAAACTTGCACCTCATTACACTAGAATTAAATGGTCTACAAAACTGCATACCAAAATTCTGATTAAAAAGTTTGAAATTTTGGTGAAAATAAGCAGAATTTTTCTAATATTTGAAATCTGAATTTATATAGTGTTTGTTGTATACCAGCTAGACTCTTACAAAAAAAATAATAAACAAAAGACGAATGCCAAATGCCAAAACCGGTCAAAATATCATATGTACATACACACCTAGCATATAAGTTCTTATGCATAGAGTGCAAAAGAGTGTATTTTAGTACAAAACGAAATGAAATTTTATGTTCCTAAATATTTCCTGCTTAGCACCATATAAAAAGTGTTTAATGTAATGTACACAAACGTGATATATGTACATATATTTTTACACATACATACATACGTACGTATGTACATTCAATTGGAATTTTGTCATCTGATATTTGAAACTCTTCCCTCAAGAAATAATGGAACGGGCATAAATGTTGCAACATGGGTTGCCTTGGGATCTTTTTCACCAACAATTTTAGAAAACCACAGTAGAAAGCGTAGCAAATTTCTGAGAACTGCGTACTGCTTAAAGGAAATTTTACCCAAGAAAATTTCTTACCTATTTCCTGTGCGTAATTTTTAATGGAGTTTTTGCTTTTCTTGAGAGCTGCCTTCTGTTATGTTTGTCGGTAAAAGGTTTGAGTTCAGTGCAGTGCCAGAATTTGTATTGTAACTATAGCTGCATTTTTTTTAAGCGAGCGACAAAAGAACGCTGCACTCGGGTAAAATTTCCTTTTAGCCACTTAAGCAACCCTGCCGGTAGCTGGCAAGAAACATGTGATTAGTTCAACGGGATGTAGACACTCAAAAAAAATAGAAATTAGTAATTATGCGAGGTATTCGCGTAATATATATACTTCTTTAAAATATATATCATGTATATACGAAAACAAAAATTTCCCTCCCCACTTTTCCNCGACAAAAGAACGCTGAACTCGGGTAAAATTTCCTTTTAGCTACTTAAGCAACCCTGCCGGTAGCTGGCAAGAAACATGTGATCAGTTCAACGGGATGTGGACACTAAAAAAATAGAAATTAGTAATTATGCGAGGTATTCGCGTAATATATATA